GTGTTGGAGCATTTAAAATTGGTGGGTGAGATATTATTAATCTCTTTGATGAATAAATGCATCTAAATAAATTATCTTTCGAACTTTTTGTTCGAATTATCTTTCGCGAGAATAATAATGAATTGGTACATTATTTTTCAACTTCTTAATTTTTCCCCCTAATAATGAGAGAATTGTCAAATCAAATTAATAATCAGTAAATTACATTATAAGTTTTCACCCGTTATGGCTTGAAATATAGTATAAGGGCTCAAACGATTCATTTCGTTTGAACATTCTTTAATTTTTATCTCAATGAAATGTGGTGAATCAATTGTACTATCAAATAATAAGATGAAGAATTTAGTCTCTGACCATAAACCAATTATAACTAGAAGAAATATGATATTTAGTTGTGGCAATGGGCCGAGCATCTACCCATGAGCTCGGCTCGTCACTTCTCAAGCTCTTTCGAGCACAAGCTAAGCTCGATCTCGACTCGTGAGAGCTCGCTCCACGAGCTCAAGTGTTTTTTTTTTCACATTTTTTACGAGCTCGTGGGCTCCTGAACTTTAGTGCCCGCAAGTCGTTCGCTTGCTCTAAATGTGCCCGAGTCGTCCATGGGCCGAACTTTAACGAGTCGAGCCGATGAGCTACTCGACCCTTTGTCACCCCTAATGATATTGACATGATGCGTAATAGCATTCCCTAAAAAGAAATAAGAAATTATTTGTTTTCAATTAAATTAATTGGATGCATTTAACAAGCAATAATGTTATCAATTTATCGACATTTCAACTAACACTTATTAAAATGTTGAGATTTATGCCTACTAGCATTAATAAGACATAGTCATAATTATATAATTTAAAAATTATGTTCATAATTAGTAATTTCACAAACTTCAAGTTACAAACACCTTGAAATCATCTAGTATTTGTATAAAATTTATTAGATACAAATAATATCTAAATGGTTAACGTGGAAGATGATGGGGCCCCATTCATCACCTTGATTAATTTTCAAAAAATATAGGGAATGACATCCCTATTTTAGCTAGTGATGGTTAATGAAAAAATTTCGATAGAGAGAACGAATAATATATAGGAATTCATTAGATTGAAGATCTTTTATTCTTCGTTGAATATCCATGTGAATTTTAAATTTTGCATCATTGTTGATCTAGTAATGGTCTAACTGATCATACTAAACAATAAAATAAAATTGAACTTCTGGTTCAATACAAGATTTAATTCAATTATTTAATTTCGAAAAATATGATTAAACATTATATAATCATATAACAATCAATCAAGTAGACAAACTAATCAATGTTAATATGATATAAGTTATATATTTTCCTCTAGGGATAAACATGAATTCAAAACGATATATTCTTCGAAATGTATCTTACTTCAAGAACACGTTGTATTTTACTATTACTTCTTCAAAAATAATATGTCAATACTGTTCTGAAATATTGGAATCGTAGTGCCATTCTCTTCGGGAACAATAATATATTATTATTTGAAATAATAAATTGTATAAGATTTTTCTCTTCAAGAGTAAAATCATAATTTATGTTAGATTTTATTTCATTATGCTATTTGGGAGCAAGTGAAATCTAACTAGAATATCAATATATAAAATTGTATGAAGGAGAATAGACATGTAAACAAATAGAGTAATTTAATTTGTGATTTTACCCAAAAATCGATCAATATTCTTCTGGAAATATTAAAACTTTAATATTATGCTCCTCTGGAGCAATTAATATTCTTTTAAAATATTAACAATTTTGTGCTGCTCTAGGAGCACCAACAAATTATAATTCAAAAAGTTATTACCTTCCATTGATTTATGTGTAATTCGAAGATAAATTGAAATTTCTTTTGAAACAAATGATCTCGCCTTTTTTCTTCTTAGAGAATACTAAACTTGAATTACTAAAAAATTATGTTATCATGCTGATAATGTGTTATAGACCTGAGAGAAAAAGAGAGAAAACTAGAAAAATCAATATACTTGTATTGTTTTATTGAGAACCAAAACTCTATATTTATAAAGAATTATTATGGATACAATGATAATAATTTCTAAAGTTGTAGTGGCACAATTCTCATTAACTAATAAACTTACAATTTACAACAGCAATGAATATATTCTCCGATTTAACAAAAAACATTACTCCACCAAAATAAAAGCGTATTTCTTAGCATTATTGATTAAACATTAAAAATCAGTTTTTAAAACTAGAATTTCTAGTTTATTGTGTCTGATTTTGGGCTTCAACGACAATTCTTAGAGTTGCCCATTTGAAGCCTTTGAAGACAAAGAACCTATTGTTGATTTACTTGGAAAACCATCTGAAAATTTTGATTATTATGTTAAATTGGGAAAAATAATTTATTTAATAATTCGTTTTAGGAAAATACTGGTTGTACATCATCATTTACATAATCTTTTTACAGATTGATGAAGTGTCAAAAAGAAGAATAAAGCTACTTTGACATCCCATGATGTAAAAAAATCGGCCATTAATTGAATAGGCGCTATTCAAATAAATGACCAGGTTGTCTGCCACATCACATGATATCAACCAAAATGTCAGTGTAGCAAAACTGCAAAAGGAAAGTGCTTAAGTTTTTTTTTTTTTTTTTTAATTTGGTTAATGAGATTTTGACCCAATCAAATCTCACCACATCATCTATTGGTAAATAAATTTATAAGTTGATGTACATGTAGCACGACCGTTCACTCTATTAACACAAAATATCATAAACATTCCCTCCACTTTTTGCCAAATGCAATGTAGAGACACTTCTTCATATTTAATAGATTTTTGAAAAGGTTAATTAACACAAAACGTCTCCACCTTTCATTTTTTTTTTTTTTTTGTAAAACGTTCATACCTTTCATTTTTTTGGCAATTCACCCTCACTTTCACCATTACGAAAAAGGTCATTCCATCCTCCCACCGTCAAATGCTCCGTTAACTCAACAAAAAATGTAATTTTTCTTTTTCAAAAATCAAGGATAATATAGTCTTACCAAATTTTTCCACTGTGGCCTTCTTCCCGCCTTCAAATTTAACTGTTCAAAACTAATAGTAATATGAAAATTATTTCATTAAATAAATAAGAAATGACGTAAAGAACATCTCACATTGAGAAGAACAATAACTCCTATGATGCTTGATTACTCATAAAATTGGGAACGATAGATGAAGAGATTGAATATGTGATCGATAAGCTGGAGCTGCTCATCCCCATTCTGTACTTATTAAGCTTGTGTTTGGGTGCCGTTTTGCTCATTATTAGAAGAAATATAGTCGTTGCAAAATGAATGTTGTGAGATAAAAGTCAAAAAAATGGGCTAAGTGCGGGCCATAAACGATAACATTTCTTATAAAAATGAGGTGAAAATGGCAAACAAACAGGCACTAAGTGTGTACATAGGGGGTAAAATGAGAAGAATGACAAATATGATACTGTAAATAACCCATCAAATTTCAATGGTGAATGTCCCATCACATATGAATGGACAAGATGAACTGGACTTGTTCTTTCCTAACAAGAAATTGAACTTGTGATAACCATCCATACGTATTAATATGTTTTACATGAAACAACCCTACCTTTTAATATAAAAAAATATACAATTCAGTTGTTCAAAAACATTAAAAAAAATAATAATAATACAATTCAGCCTTCTATTTGAAGGTGAATGGAATATACAAACAAATGGAAGAAAATTGGTTCATTTTGAAGGAAGCAGTCTCCTTTGTTCGTGCGTAAGAGGAGATGGAGGTGAAGGGAAAATTTGGGTTAAGACAATGTTACTCTTGTTTTTAAAAAAGAAAATTTGCATTTTTGTGGTGAATTAGCAGAGTATTTGACGGTGGATGGGTGTAAGGACATTTTTTGCAATGAAAGGTGAAAGTGAGGGTGAAATTGTCAAAAAATAAAAGTTATAGACGTTTTGCACGAAAATATTGAAAGGTGTGGACGTTTTGTGCTAATTAGCCTCTTTGAAAAGTCTTATTTGATTGAATACAAATTAGAACAAGCAACAGACATAAAAATAAGTGATTACTCAATTCTATATCCCGATAACATAAATATTTAGAATTTTACATTATAGATTGTCCATTAAATCCGACTCAAAATGTATAACGAGCATATAGATAGTTCAAGTTTACGTTTGTGAGTAATAAAAATATACATGAATTCTTTAAATAGTCTGAACTGCAAACAATTTTTAAAATAAATGAAAAAGAAAAAACTCAAAACACAGTAATGTGCTGATAGTATAAATCAACAAAATCGTCTCCAGTGACCAATTTTGAGTTGGTCGCTAAAATATTGATGGATGAACGTTTACCGATTGAATTAGTGAGTTGGTCACTAAAGACTTTTGGGCGAATGAGGACCACAATTTTTGCCGCTAAAAAAAATTTAGTGACCAAACAAAAATAACTTTTACCAACCAATCTGTTTGGTCTCTTAAGAGAGTAGTTTTTTTTTTTTTTTATCTTTTTTTTAGTGAGCATATATTGGTACCATTCTGTATTATCCCTTTGATTTTATGTTATCTTGCACTAACCTAAGTTTGAGCTCTAAAATCTCTCTACGAGATCGTGTCTAACATCAAATAACTTCCACGAAAGGCACTCAGATAAATGCTGCTGCTTATTTTCAGTCGACAAATTGCTTTGGTTTGGTACAAGTGATCAAGCTGAAAGCTTCATTTCGAAGAAATTTGTCTGTGGTTTTGCCCTTCCCAAATAATACACTCCAAACTGGAAGAGCAGCCACACTGAACGAGGAATATTTGCAATGGTATAGCAGCTTAAAAGTTAAATAGTTTTAAAGGAATTTTTTGATACCATTTGCACTGCCACTCCTTTCTATGAATCTGAAGAAAATATGAAACATTACTTATAAGTCACGAGTACAAACTTCAGTCATTTACATTTACAGAGTCCAGTGGCAATTACACATAGCAAACACAGATAATATTCACCATTTTGTAGAATAGCATTTTGTAGCTTGTCCAGCGCCAACCAAGTAAGGTCGAAAGGTTCTCACAACTTCCTCGTACGTTGGCCGCTTGTAGTCCACTGCCTGCAACAAGTCATCACGTGTGTGGATTAGCTTTTATAGCAAACTTGTATGCGAAATCAAGAATAATGAGGGAATACCTGCTCAACGACTTCTTCGGGGGTTGCCCATTTCCATTCTGAGAATTCTGGATCTGTTTCACCATTTGCTAGGTTGATTTCACTTTCATCTTTTGTCAATCTCATAAGAAACCTATCATTAATTGCTCCAATCGTTCATCATGCTAAAAGTTACCCATTTGTTCGTCTATCTTTACAGTTTTTAAGATACATAAGACGATGGGATATGTGACATTCAAGGCAGATATAGAAGACATCCAAAACATAATTTGGAGAGTACGAATAACTTATACTCAATATGTATATTTATCAGCATCCAAATAATGAATCGGCCAGGATTCTGAATTTTCTGCAATCTTTTTCAAGTTCTTAGGTCACCAAACAAAACTAATAGCAACAGCTAAGCTATCCAGATCATACCCTCATTTCCTCTACTCGTCATGGTTTCAATGGAGTGAATAGAAGATAATGAAGTAAATTCTAGTAGGAACTCTACAAGTTTAAGTCAGGCAGGACAAACGATAGTATCAAGATACAAAATGGAGAAGACAAGAATATATTTGGGAAGATAAAATTAGTGGAACTTATTAGGCGCAGTTAAACTAAAACATTTTCTTAACTATACGAAATGTCGGGAATTCTCAAAAGGGAAAAAAATCTATGCATGACATATACCATTTTTGTGCCTGTCCATGCCATTCTCCTCCCCAAAGACGATTCACTTTGGCCTTCACAGCAGGAGGGAACTCATAGCTTAACCAATTTGGTACCTGATAATTTACAGCAAACCTTATAAATATACACACAAAATCCTTCTTTTAAGACCATCGAGATTTAGCAAAACATATAATCAGACATTTTTATTGGAACAAAGCAAAATCTGCTTTACAATTACTGTTTGATGGCTTTCTCTGACATTTAAAGAAAATGAGAAAGGATGGAAACAGTAAATGTGGAAATTCACAATTTGGGTAACCCTGGGTGTATAGGAAGCGACTCTAGAAACTATCTTTCTCGAGCTTATTCTAAACTCTCCTGTCCACCTTACAAGGCCCCAACACCCTGTGAAGGCTTGGCAACGTCTCTAATATAAGAAAAAAAGCATCACAATAGGTCTATATTAACATGTTATGATATTTGGGAGATAACACGTAAAACAAAAATGTAAATGTCATAAACAATCATATAGGACGACCTCAGTAATTATTTCAGCAGACACTACTCCAGTTTCTTCTCTCAATTCTCTAATTGCTGCAGATCTTGGATCCTCACTGTCTTCAATCCCCCCCTGAAGATAGAAAATTGAAAAGCAACTGCATAAGATTGAATATATTCCAAACAAATGAAACCCGTGTTCAGTTAAGATAATGTTCTGAACAGCAAAATGTTTAAGATAGATGAATATTAGCCCCTGTTTGGAGCCGATTTTGGGGGGAAAAAAATGAGTTTTTGCACCATTGAGTTCCAATTTCAGCCACACTTTTTGTCTTTTATCTCACATTGGTGGGACCCACCTCGCTATGTAACGTCAAAAAATCCATTTTTTGGACCAGAAAATGGGCTCCAAACAGAGGCTTAGGCAGCACTTGGTACTGATTTCTAACCCTTGATGCCCTTCCAACCTATCATTCTCCATATTCAATTAGGTTGAAAATGGAAGCAGGATATTGTATATTTGCATTTGAACTTTCTTTTTATCTTGAGCTCAAATTTGAACCCTTTTCACCCCCCTAAAAAAAATAGTCTACCCATCCTGATGAATCCTGTGAAAGCAAGTAAAAGTTGTATGATTGCTTTTCTCAGAAGTTCTTTTCTCGTTCTCAATTCAACCTCAACAGTTTGATGTAATATGGCTTAGATAAAGATATTGACAAAATTTATACTTGATATCAATCGAATCAATAGCATTGAAGGGGAAATAATTATGGTGGCATCACCTGGGGCATCTGCCATGCACCAGGAACATTCAGTCTGGAAGCTACAAAGACCTGCAAGAAAATTGCAAAAAGTTATTGTCTTTCCTTGCGTCCATCCGTTAAACTGTCATTTTAAGAAAATAAGCACTTCATCCAAACTTATTTGCTATTGACTTTCATCGGATGGGGGTTGGGAATTTAATCACAATATTATTTGTACATTCAAAATGATCCATGATTAGTCAAAATCACATTGAAAGAAACTTCTCATAAACAACCAGCAATCGCCTTTGTTATTGGTAACATACACATGCAATATTTTGCCTTCAGCACCATATTCCGTGATCAGAGATGAGTATTTCAAGTCAACTACATCCTACAACATGATAACATAATTTTAAAAGAATTTTATTCACAATGTTTTGGCCACATTAAATGAAAAAAAGGCAAATTAATGACGCATTCACCCTCACCCCTGTCAGTCCTACATTAAAAAAACTAAATTCACCCGTCAGTCCTACATTAAAAAAAAACTAACTTCGCGCCTTTCAGTGACGTGCACAACACTTGACATATATTTCCATGCATCTTTCCAACAAAATGTTTAAGTACATTGACAAGCACATGTCAACATGCTCTTTATTTGCTTATATAGTTTTGCATCAAAATGAACGTAAATGCTTAAGCAGCAAAATTATTTCCTAACGGGCTAAATTTTCTCTTGATTTAATACTTTATATAATCGTCATAAATTTGATAGATCAAAAAGTTTAAAGACTCGCTCCCACAAAAAGAGAACTGATATGATATCGTTGTTACTTATTAGTCCACTGGCTTTATTATTTTTTTCACTATTCCAAAGTACCATAATAAGTTAAAGGTCCACTCCGCATCCACCTTTCTAATTTACCCCAGTTCGTTAGCTCAAAATGAAAATAACATAGAGGCAATGCAATTCACAAAAATATAATATACAACAGTATGAAATTCTACTCAATCCCTAGTTCTATTAAATAAAATTGTGCAGTGAAAAATAGACAAATTAAAAAAAACCACACAAAAGAACAAACCCAATCAAAAGATTATGATCTAATGAGAGCCTATTATCATGCTCTCAAAATACTACACCCAAAATCCAGTAAAAGAAATTAAAGCTTTCTTAGATTAACTAAACAAGAAATCTATGTTCTCGCCCTCAAATATTATTGCCACCCAACAGCCATAAACAAAATTTAAGTTTTAGAAGAGAAATTAAACAATAAGTCTATCGTGGCGGTCAAATTATTACAACCACAAAAAAACAAAAAAAACCCAGAAAGAAATATGATTTTAAAAAAAAAAAGAAAAATAAACATCAAATCATAGTTTATGCCGTGAAACGGATGAAGAATTAATGGGAAAAATGATAACTCCATTTTCTGCTCTCAAATTATTATATACCACATAAAGACCAGAAAAAAATTCTACATGGAAGCACCTTATGCAGTGAAATGACTGAAGAATTAGGGGGAAAACATAAAGGGTTTTACCATATTATCATCATTGATTAGACACACTCCAACGTTGGGACGATAACCTGAGGGCAGACCCTCCATTGATTTTATTTTCTTGAAATAAAAGAAGAGAGTCAGAGTTGAAAACACGAACGAAAAAGAGAGAATTTTCTTATAAATGCAAATCACAATCAGAAAATCACTTTAGCAGAAAGTCAAACATATTTTCATATGTAAGCTAATGTGTGTATTTGTGGGGTGGGGTGGGGTGGGGTGGGTGCTATGGAAGACTTTTCAAGAGTTGAGTTTTTGTGGGCGATTATCGTGCGCTGGCACTGAGCATTTTAGTGTACAAACAAAATGAGCACTAAAGTAAATTGTGGAGGTGGGAATTGGGAAGTGGCGTTGGTGGGGATGGGGGATCAACTTTTGAGTGAAATCTCAACCGAGCCCCTACACTTTAATTTATCTCAGTTAGATTGTTGAACTTTAAGTTGACTTTTTTTACTACTTTGTCACATTCTATCATCCATAATACAAAAATGATTTAATGTCCTTTCGCGGGTGGTCGAGTTGGTGGAGCAGGTGAACGCGGAGACCAAGGATCACGAGTTCGAATTCTCTACCAACACTTTTTCGGTCGAGCCCGTCACACCGGGCTTGTCTAGTGCGTTTTACCTCTCCTGTGTAGTTTGCGGGCTACTGCACATGGAGCGGGATTTACTTAGTGTGCACTCACAGTGATCGAACATCTGCCCCTTCGGAGTGGTCGGGGATCCGCGCGAATAGCAGTTGCGGGTTCCTACGGAAAAAAAAAAAAAAAAAGTGGTTTAGTTGATAGTCTTATCATAATTTATCTTCTACATAATTGTTATACAGTACCTTAGAAAAAAAAAAATGATAAAATGAAGGTTATTATTGTGCCCCTACTTGGGCTTCATTGAAAATAAGTTTCGGAACAAAATGTATATTGGAATAGTGATTTTTTGAAATATGTGTAGTTAAAAAATAAGAAAAAAATTTGTATTTACGTGTAATATTATTTTATTGAAAAATGCGTAATTGAAAATAAGAAAAAAATGTGTCTCCGAAAAATGGAGCCCAAACAAGGGCATAATATCTTTAGATAAAATTTTGAATGACATGTTTTATATTAACTCTTTTATGATGTGACAAAGTGGTAGGATGAGACGTCACACAACAAGCATGTAGAAGATTTGTTGTCGCATTGCAATCAATTAAGCAATTTTCATCAATTTGAGAGAAGGTAGTGAATGGTTGAGTGGTGAATTTTGAAAATAAAAATGAAGATTAGTGACCTAGTTAAAATATAATTGAAGTTCAGCAACCTAATTGAGATAATAAAAGTTGCAGCCAATAGTCAATATGATTTTATTGACCAAATTAAGATTTTGCTGAAAGATTAGAGACCACAGATGAAATTTACCCAGTGTTGGGAGATTATATCATGTTGAGATCTATAGTTATCCATCTAAAATTTTAAATTCTTGTTAGCAAATGACAACATGTGACTTCAAATGTGATATAATTTATAATTTACCATGTTGGTATCTTACTTTTTGTTAACAAAAGTTGACATAAATAATATGTTGACATATTTACAGTGGTTGATTGATAACATAGGACATTAATTGATATGTCATCAGTGGTTGATTGATCGACAAACTAAATAGACAACATTTCTCCATCTAAAGAGAATTTCCAACATGATTATTTTCCATTTTTATCAAGAATAAAAAGGTAAATGAGAGGCAAGTTATCCCTCGAGAAATAGTGTCTTCATTACCACAAAAATTAAATTATTGATCAAACGAGTTAATATCTCACCAAATGGTATCTTGACAAAAGTTGACATAATAAGGTGTCAACATTTACTGGGAAGACAATATGCCCCAGTTTGCCATCCATTTTTTTCAAAATTCTCTCTCAAATTCATCTTTAACCACAATTTAACACAATAAAATATTTTACACGTAAATCAAAAAAAAATCTTCTATTTAATCATACATTCTCCAACAAAATCACTATTCCAAAATTTATTTCCCCCAAATTAAATCACATGGGCGAATTACTTAAATATGTAATCTTAAATGTAAGGATATGAATCTCATTTAAGATGACATACCAATTAATATCATGTAAGTTGCTCGTTGATCGACAATCTAGATAGACTGCATTAATGTATCTAATTACAAGAATTCCCATTAGATTTTACAACTCTTTTTAAAGAAGAAAAAGGTAAATGAGATGCAAGTTGCCTTTTCATCTACGCATCAAACAATAGCGATAATTTTATTAATAACAAACCTGTATACATAAATACCAACACATTGGTTTCAACACCACGATAATTCTATTTAGGATACTGCCAATGTATGCCGTGTTGGAAAAAACTAGAATTAAATTGAGTTGAAGGTGACTTTGGCGCTAATTTTGAGCGGGACCCACTTGGCTATTTTGGAAGATAAAAGTTGATTTGTATTCTCTTCTGTGAATATATCGAAATCATATACTTACTTGTCAAAAATGATGCTCGGGTGAATGAGAAATTGAAACTCAAAATATACAATGTGAAAGAAGTTTATATTGGTGGGAAAATTAAAAATAAGGTTTGTCCCATATAGGAAGTGGATGAAAACTAAAACCACTTTATGAAGGATTACACTTTAGAATTGTGTAATCATGTGTAGTATAGAGGCTCTCTCCACGTGCGCGCGCAGGGGGGTGCAAATCTTGGACCGAAATAGGCTTCGGACATTGAACTTGTGTGCGGGCACGACCTGCGTACAAGAATGTCGGACCAAAAGGAGCAAAATTGGCCCCTTAAGAGTATCCACATTTTGCTACATTTTTGTTAATTTTCAACAGACTTTTGGTCTTCCAAAACTCCTGAAACTCCTATGTTAATTGTCATTTGTTAATGGGCAGGTTATAAGAGTTAGCCTTTATATATGTCTCGTTTTTCCACTGTCCATACACGAAAAAATTCATCTGCACACTGTTCCTGTTTCTCTGCATTTTTCGTTCCTGTTCTAGTCTGGTGGTGATATATTTCAGACACAGAGTCAGTTC